TTTTCACTCCACCACCACAGCTCTCTCCACTCTCGAATTTTACATTTCAGACGGTTTTAACCAAAATCGCCCCCCTAAACGTACGGTACTGGCCACACTTGACTTATCTTAGGCTTTCGACATGGTGTGTCATCGCTCACTTGTGGAACTCGTTCATGACACTCCCCTCCCAAGAAGTCTAGTCCGCTGGCTAAGTAATTACCTTAATGGTCGACAGGCTGCCACCTCATTCCGTGAACACACATCCCCCCATCGAATAATCCACTGTGGCGTACCCCAAGGTTCTGTTTTATCACCCACACTCTTCAATTTTTATGTCCATGATGCACCGCCACCTCCCGATAATGTAAACCTTGTTTCGTATGCAGACGATTTCCACCCCTTCGCAAGCAGTTCCAATATTGATATCGCCTCAAACTCCATCAATAGCTACCTAAAAAGGCTCTACGATTTTTTCACCTCACGCAAACTAAGTTTCGCGTCCTCTAAAGGATCAGTTACACTTTTCTCCTCTTATAACAAAGAATTTAATAAAACACCTAGTGTTCTTTTAAATAACGAGGCGCTACCCCTAAACAAAAATCCAACAATCTTAGGGGTGACATTTGATCCAACACTTTGTTTTGCCACTCACTGCAAACAATCCGCTGAAAAGGCCAGACGCAGGATCGGAATCCTGAAGGCATTAGCAGGATCAACCTGGGGTCACTCCAAAGAAACCCTCCTCCTAACTTTTAAAGCTTTAATTCGCCCCATACTTGACTATGCAGCCCCCGCATGGTCCCACGCATCAAGTAACACCTCCATAAATTGCCTGCAGGTTGCCCAAAACCAATCCCTTCGCGTTGTTACTGGATCAAATCTAATGAGTTCCACTGCCCACCTGCACAGTGAATCTGAAATCCTAACGGTCAAAGACCACCATACCCTTCTGTCATCTCAATTTTTTATCTCTACCTATCGTTCCCACCATCCCATTAATTTTATACATTCACATCCCCCTCCTCCCCGTCTACTTCGCCCCTCAATTATAAGCTGCTTCAAAGAAGACACCCAGAAAATTTTAACCGACTTTTCAGTCTACGCAAACCACCCTCTAGTTCTGGACGACCGAGACGAAGTCTCCACTTTTATTTTTAACTACTACAAACCAATTTTAAAAGACAACCATACCTCCCTTGTAACCAAGTTCCTAGCCGAAACCCCTCCGTCTAAAGTTATTTGTATCCCTCCCCCAAAGATTGACCCCTCTGAAAAATCTCTCCCACGTCCCACGCGCTGTAAGCTCTCCCAACTCCGGTCTGGCTACAGCCGGCTCCTTAACACTTACCTATCCCGCCTCGACAGCTTCATCTCCCACCTTTGCCCAACCTGTTCCCTTGACCCCCACACAACATGTCACCTTTTCAACTGCTCCCAAAACCCCTCCCCACTCACCCCAGCAGACCTGTGGCTTCGGCCGGTAGAGGTTGCTAAGTTGAACTGGAGACAGAAGAGCCCAACCCGACCCGCGTGGGCTAACAACAATTGAGCAATCTCCCCCCCCCCCCTATTCTCGCGTGGGGGGGGGGGGGGGGGGGGGGGGGGGGGGAGAGCTCAATAGGTACTTGAGACATGTTCATAACCACTTCAAAATTGTTTGAATGATATGAATTCTTAAATCAGTTTCTTCAACGATAGTGAAACGCCTAAATTTACAATATCAAAACTCAAAAATTACATTACGAATGAAAAAAGAATCAATAAAATTGCTTTTTTTTTCATTTAGGACAGAAAAATTTGATATTCAGATATAAGGCTAGAGCATCAACCCTGGTAGGTCGCTTTGCTCGATGAGGCAATGGTCGCACAAGCAAAAATTTGCAAAAAAAAAAACTCGATTTTTTTGTTCAAATTTTTCTCGAAATGTACTTGCGTTTGCTGACATATTTTTGTAGTGTTTTACCGTTTTTGCTGGGGGGATTGCTCAATTGGTCATTACGGGGGGGGGGGAGGGGAAGAGATTGCTCAATTGATCCCCTGAATGTTCCAACTGCCCTTTAACTGGCCTCGAATAGTTTGGGCTGCTAATATTTATTACTAAGTGTTGAAGTTCGAATCTTATATGTAATTGATACGAAAAAATGCTTAAGCTCGAAATTTTTCAAACCCGCTTTGTTATGATTACTCGCTTTTTGAGAGAAACAAGTAGTTTGAAGTAGTATTCGTTAGATGTTCAATAAATGAATGTCGAAATGAAAAGTTCCAAAAACTATTTAGCAATGGCGTTTACAGGTTCCAAAGAAAAAGTAGTCATTGGATCCTCAGTCTGAGACGAGAGGGAAACAATAACAATAAACCAACTAATTGTGGGTGCTTCGAATAAAGTAAACGGATTTTCGCATTCGCTTCGCGTATTTATAAAAAAAATCTAAACAAATAAAACAATTAGGTAAATCAATACACGTCGCTCATTCGTTTTCAAGACTCTTCTCAAATGTAATCGACCTGCCTCATTTATGTTAGCTTAAATTGATGCTTTAATTTGACATCCCCGAATCAATAAATTAAATGGTTTTGAGGGATTGTATTAGGGATCATTTTAATTTCTTGCGACCCCGTTATCTCATGAATGTACCAAATGTTTCGATCAAAAAAATCACATTGGTTATTTCCCAAACCACCTCAAAAGAGCTGTCTAAATCTGCTGTTGACTGGAGGACTTTTATTTGAAGCAAGCACAGGCATGAGTAAATAAATTAATCGTCTTTTTTGGCACTATTGAACTTTTTCCGGCCCTTTGCATTTAAAGCCCGAGCAGTCTTGTTATTATTTATTTTTGGATTATTTATGTTTTATCTCGATTCTGATTGGTTCATACAGTATTTGTCTAAATACTGACGAGTATGAATACGCGGTTGTCTAAATACAGACCGCACTCCACAATTAGTCGCCACAACAAAATAAGTCAATGCCGCGTATCAAACGCTAATTTGATACGCGGCATTGTTAAGTAGACACCGCTTGCTCCGCTGCGCTCACATTTGGCACGAGATATAAAATGCGCGTGAAAAAGTATTTGCCTCTAATTTATTCGAATTGAGGTACAGTTAGTTGGAATTCGAAAATGAAGGTTTATTAAAGCAAACAAAAAAAGTTCGCTGAGATACCGTGAGATAATTGTATTTAACTAGACTACACGGTGTTGTTTATCAAGTCTGGTAAAAGGCCTGTTTTAATTTGTTAAATGGTCGGTCTGGTGAAACGTCCCCAAGTAGTTTTTTTCTGATATGTCACAAAAATGACTGAAGTGAGAAAAAAAGCAGAAAGACCTTTGGGGCTTTTTTTGCGCTTGTTATTAGAGTTTTTTCCGCTCCCCTGCCCCCGCACATTTGAATTTCAGTTTCAAAAACTAATTTACGTTGTCAGAATGTAACGAAATTTTTCATGCTGAACAACCTAATTATTGTGAGCAATTTTGTTCTTCATACCTTGCATGTTTACATCACGAATTCAGCCATAGAAACATGGAGAAATTTAAATGTGGGGGAGTGGAAAAGAGCCGCGATTAGTAAGCGTTATCAAATCGCAACAGACTTTTTCACGGAAAACATTTTGGCTAATAGAATCTCTGAAGCATTTCGTCATCCATCATTGTGTTTTTAAATACCCGATCTTCTCAAAATGTTTTCGATTGTTTGTAACTTTAAACTCAGATTTGTTTACGTTTGCGATTAGCAAGCGTTATCAAATTGGAATGTAGACTTTTTTTGGGTTAAAAACTAGTTAAACGAAATCAGTGATTCATATGATGCTGCTATGAAAAGGTCATCTGATGCTGCTATTCAGCTGACATGCTCATTTTCATAAACTCAAATTCAATAACTTGGTGGGTTCTAGTACAGGGTGGTTTCATTGGGGACGTGACACTTTTTTTAAAAGTTTTTTTTACAAAATCTGTTTTTTCGGCTCATCTGTTTTCTGCTTAAAGCTTGTCGGCATTGTTTCCACTTTGTAAAATTTGTTTCGTTGCGAATTCTTAACTCAGATTTCTTGCTCGGCATCTTTGTGATAAAACAGGTAATATGAAAGTGTATAGGATTTGTTTTGTTTCTACTTTGTTTTCGGAAAAGTCAATTTTTTGAGCTTGTGCTTTCTATATTTTATGATTTTTACCGGAAAAGATTTTCACATATCTGATATTTTGGGTTCATTGCAAGGAACGTGTTGTGGGAAGCTCTTTTGCATTTGCGACTACGCCCCCAATTTTTTTGACACAAAAAGTTCTGGTCCTCGGAAAATTCAAAATTTTGATTTTTTGACCGTTTCTCGAACTATCGTGCCAAACCTGGGTTTTTGGGCTCAATCGAAGTTACAGGTTGGGTGAATTTGTTCTGCATAAGCGAATGCTCCCATTTTTTTAAAACCAAAAAAGATATGGTTCTCGGAATTGTCATTTTTCTGATTTGTTGACCGTTTTTAGATTTTTCTCTATAAATATCTTGCCAAATCTGATATCATAGCTTTAATCGACACACCAGTTTGTCGGAAGCTTACTTTTGTAATTTGCTACGCCCAGTTTCTTTCAGAAAAAAGTTTTGGACCTCAAACAAGTGAAAATTTTAAAACTTCGACCGTTGTTTGGAAGTTTTTTGACTCTACTCGAAAATTAACGAGCCAATTCTCCGCTTAAGTGTTGAACGATTTGCTTTTAGCAGAAAAAAGTTATGGATTTCGGAAAGTAAGTTTTTGAACTTTGATCGTTTTTGAATTTGCTTAAAAACTACCGTATCAAAGCTGAGATTAAAATTTCAATTGAAAGAAGCGGTCGAGCGAGTTTTTTTATAGAAACGGCAAAAGGAAGGTTATGTTTTGGGAAAGTTCCAAAATCTCAATTATTTTCACTTATTTTAGTAGAGAAATAACTGAGCCAACGACTTCATTGATCCTTTGCTGACTTTTTTTCGTTTTCTATGTAGTTTTTTTGTTCATTTTGGTATCCTACATTTTTAAAACTTGCCTCGAGGTTGAAATTAGTGCTGTGCAGCTTGACTTCAGAACGGTCTGTCAATCTGTCTTTCTTGTTTTATGTTTCTTGTCTTGTTTCCTTGTCTTGTATGAAGGCTGGAAACAGCCATGCGTTAACCTACCATTGATTTATGCTCTCCGCAAGCACATATTTCACGTGGTCTTTCAAATAAGGAACCTTTTTTCCCACTTTAAGACAATCGAGTTCGATTTTTCAGCTCGTATGCACAAACGAACATTCGTGCTCGCGTTAATTCTTTTACCGCTGATGGCTTAAAAATACCAATTTCGTTTTGTGCTAGAGGTAGGCTAGCTGTACCTTTCTGTATTTGACTGAAATTGTTCTATCCTTTCTGCATAAGGAATGGAAATTTCCTTTCTCCAACACAGTATACCATACCATCTACCTATACACTTTGAATTTTTATACCAACCATACAAAATGATGGCGTGTCCGTAACTTGCTTATAAATTCCCCCTCTGCTCCCGCTTCGCTCTTAAGGCTGCGTATGTTTTCCTCAACCCACTTGAAGTGTATGTAACAAGGTAATGCTAGCCCTTGTTTCAAAACTAACCCAATCCCCGCCGTGTTTGCCCCTATCCTTCTCCTATACACCAAGTCTTTAATCTCAAATTGCGCAAAGGCTTTTTACTTACAATACATCACAAAATTAAGGTAGAAACCACTGCGCCTCGGGTAGCAGAAGAATTATCAAAATTTCGGGCATTACCGCAAATATCGCCATGAGTTCCTGACAGTTTCATTACCCCGAGGACATTTAACGTTTTTAATTCCACTCCTACATGGATACATTGTCTTAGATCATATTTATATCGTATTCACTAATACAGTAATATCCCTGGTGTGCTTGCTTCTTATTTAATCAGCTACGCGTGACAATATCTATCTATCAGTAGCCAAAAATACTTGCAATAGTCTTTGAAAAACGGCACCGTAGCAATAGTGCTGTTCTGTAGTTCAAAGAACACGACCAGATGTATGCGAAATTCGATCATGCACCATGGATTCAAATTACAATCGCAGGCTAGTTTCCGAAATCTTGTTTCAACTGCCTTGAGGGACCATTTAACAGGTATGTTTAAGCGCGCTTAACGTTTGCTTCTCGAAATAGTCTAAAATCAGATAAATAGTGGGCTGAAACACTTCTTATGAGCAAGTTTACATCAAACTGTAGAAAAAGATGCAAAAAATAGTCTGTTCTAATTGTCTAGTTTGAGCATAATTTGGCCGGTCAGTGCTCTCCTAATAAAATCAAAATAAAATCTACCGAATATTAAGTCGGAACTCAAAACTGCGCCAGTAGAATCTGTTAGTTCGAGATGATCTCAAAATTTAATTTCAAGGTTTAGATACAACAAATACTACATATCAATTTAACACAAACTGTCTAAAGCTATGGAAAAAAATTTTAAAAATTTTTCGGAAAAGGTTTTAGAATTTTTTCGGAAAAGGTTATAATGCTTTTGACTTTTCATTCAGATCCTAGTTGTTTTCGGCAAATTCTTTCCATTGCAATCCTTGCGGTTGTTCTTTTTTTCTTTTTTTTTGCGATTACCAAGGGTAATCAAATTTTCTGGGTACTATAATATTCCCTCCGTGAAGAACTTTGTTACAAAAATCGCTAAATATCATGATAACTTAAATAAATTTACCAGGTGTTACATATGCTGACCTGAGATGCTGTCCTGCTCAATATCCTGAATGTTCAATTTCAGCTTTAAGATCTTTTCAGAAGTGAGAGAGGGGTTTGTAAAAAGAGGAGTTTCAAAATCTTATAGCCATTATATGTTCATTTACCTTAAATTACCTTACATGTCCATTTAAAAAAAATCAAAATTGTTTCAAAACATTATCCAATTGTTGGCCTCAATGTAAATGTTTCCGAAACTAATTGAATTTTCTTCGCAATTTAAACTTTAATGAAACCAGTTTTTTGCCAATTTTAGGTACTTTTCGCAATTGAAAGTTTTTTCGGGCATATCTACTTGCAACAAAAATTTATCAATATCGTCTTGAGGTTTCAGATTTTTTGCATTTCCAGCTAAATTCTGAAAATAGAAATTAATTGACGTAAGCAAACTGTGTACTTTTGCGTCGGATCGATTTTTCGGCACGGTAAGTAATTTTTTTTTTCAATTAAAATGACTTGATTCTCGATTTAAATTGAAATGCTTCATTTAAATTGCGTGGATTCATAATTTTATATTTGGATAACTAAAAATGTAAGTGAAAGTTGAAATAAATTAACTTGTTATTTCTTAAAAAGACATCACTGCGTATAGCTCTAATTTTTTTATGACAAAAATTATTATTTCAGTTCAACTGGAGACTACCCAAATACTATCGACTCAGTTGCCGCTCGATTAGTTTTTATAGAATTCTTTTTCATTGCTGTTAATTTTTCCTACAACTATCCTTCAAAATGAAAATTATTTGAGTTTTTCGTTATATTTTTTTTCAATTTCCTTTAATATTTTTAATCTCCGTTTGTATACAGTAGCTTTCATTGATACATTGCCGTTGTGCCGCAAGCGGTGCAGACCTCAGCTTCGCTGCTGTGTCACTACTGCTTTTTTCTGGAGATATCCTAAAACTTTTCAAATACGGAGCACCATCCTGAGGGTCAGTCGAAATTTATGATTGGCTTCATATTCAGTTATGAATTGATAAGATTCGTAAAATCAAGACACGGCTCTCTGGTTTTGCGATGGATATTTCGAAGTTACACTGCTCTCAGTGCTCTACCAGTTCATGTAATAACTACTACTAGATACTTCATGTCATAGCTACTAATCTTTTTAGTAGCTGTGGTATTTGGAGGATTTCCTAGCTACTTGCCTTTTCTCTCTTTTTTAAAAAAAATAAAATTCGTGACCAGAAGAAGCAGTTGTTTAAAACGACAAAATGTAAACCAGCAGCAATCATTATAACTAACGATTTGTATTTTTTAAAAGAAGGATTTTTTGACAATTAATTTTGGCAAAGTGGACCACTTTTTAATGCTTATGCATCGCTTTTCGGTCGCAACTGGCAGCTACGTGAATCACGATTTTTCTTAATTGTAATTAAAATGAATCCTACCAATATCTGTTTAAACCTTGGATGTAGTTATAAGAAGCCATAAATCTCACTTTCCGAAACATGATTTTCTATTATTTCTCGCGTAATTAATGAGTTAGAGGATTAAATTGAGGTCATCAAATGTTTTAAAGGGGAAAATAGTGGATTGAATTTTTTAGAGGAAACAAAAGTATAGTTTAAAAGCAATAAAAACGAGGTAAGAGAGAGTACAGAAATTTAGAGTTCTCTAATATGGCGATTAGGTTTGTTCAAATTAATTGCTTCTTTGTTTGCGAAAAGAATCGTATGCCGCCAAATGCCAATGATGTATAATTCGCGTAGCTTTAAAATTAGTGGGAGAGCCAGTAGCTATGCAGGGAGTACAGAAATTACCGTCCTCACATGCGCTTGTCTTTGCTATAAATTTAAAAAAACGGAAAAATGCATGCCTTGTTTTTTCAGTATAGTGAGTTTTGCGACTTCTCCAATCATGAGATTGTAAAGAAACTTGAAAAAGGATATTTTTTTCGGATTTTTTTAAAATCCGGACTCACGATATAGGAACCAGGATATATAGCTAGAAACCATTGGACGCTTCTGCGTGGTTATTGGATTTGCGCGAGAAATTAAATACGCGAAGATAGAATTTCTCCCGACTATGTGATTGGAACAATATTGATACTCAGTGGAAACACTTTTAAAATTGATAAATAAATTTCTGGTTTTTTGTTAAATTTCTTGAGCGATCTGAAATGGGAGCATTCTCTGATAATGAAATATTTCTTTTCATACCTGAGGAAATATTTAGATACTTTCCTTTGTTTACCTATTTGAAGTGCAATGAAGTCATACTTTGTCAATGAAGTCATACTTTGCGTTACCAAAGGTCGCCTTGCAAATTTAGACACTCCAAATGTTTCTCAATGAATTCTAGCGATTTTATACGGGGTTTTCAGATGTCGATTATGATTCTCCTGAGTGTTGAAAGTGATTAAAAGCGCCACTTTTCTCATGGTATTTTCGTCAGATTTTCGTACATAAGTTTTTAATTTAATTTTGTTGTTTTCCGTTTTGTGAATAAGGTTCTTTGTACCATTGTGAGAAACTTAAGTTTCCTTTGAATGTGAATTTTATTATGTGTAAAAATTTTAATGCAAATTGCAGATTTTGACTCACAATAAGCTCATGCTTATTTGCCCTTGCGATCAGAAAGGGTGTTGCAACCAGCTACTAATTTTTTCCCACGTAAACAACTTTGTTCACAGATAAGTCAATTTAGTAAAAATGTTAAATAAATTTCAGACATGCTCATTTTTTTTTAAAAGGCAAATAAAAATACGATCATTTAATTCAGGTAATAATTATTTGGAGTTCGTTTCAGACGTAATTATTTAATAATTAAACTGAAAGACTATTAATTTTTTCTCGGACTCGTGGTTTTCGTCCTAGTTTCCGTCGGTTAATTTTCCGTTTTTAGTGCCATTTTGATAATCTGGTACAGTTTTTATGGCTTTTTTCCAAAGCATAGGTTTTTTCGAAAGTTCTGTATTTTGTAAATTTCCCAAATTGATTGTGTATATTTTTACATATTTTTTATTATTTTAGATTAAACGGTTTGGGCTTGTATTATATCGGCTCAGTCAACTTATGTTGCTAAGTTTCGAGGACTAAAAAATTTATGGGTGAGTCTCAGTAGGGATGCGTCGTAAAGTTTTTAAAGCTTAATAGTTTAAATTTTTCAAGACAACAGCTTTGTTTTCGGCTCAATGTGGGTCGACTAAAATGTTGTAGCTTTATTTGCATCTCGGTAAACGATTCCCAGTACTTTTCAAGGCTTTTTTTAACCCTATTCGATACAAAATCCGTCTCTTTTTTATTCACCGTATTCTAGCGCAATGTTTTTTTTTGTATCGTAAGTGGCTCTGCGCTAAAGTCTTAGTTTCTCAATTACTCGTTTAGTTGATATGATGCTTCAGAGTTGTTAAGCTCGAATCCCGTAGACGACAAAGTTGTAGTCGTCTAGCTCCAAAATGACAACTGCTTACATTTGCGACAAGCGAATGTTATGAAATCAGGCCATTTACTTTTTTCAGACTAGATTTTTCTCTAACTGAATCACTAAATCATTTGCTAACTTGATTGAAAATAGTTTCAAATTCAGCAGACGACAAGGGTTTGAATCCGACCAAGATCTGTTTTTTTTGCACATTGAAAATTAATCGCTTGAAATAAATTTAACGTTAAAGAGCTCCTATGCTTTTTTGTCGACTTTGCCACCAGAGAATCGAGCGTCTTGTTATCTGGAACTAGACTTTTTCCTTTAAACAACTTTTAGATATTTTAGAGATTGCATATGCTTTGTTTTTGAACTTTCAGGGCCCCTCCCGCTCGGTCTAAGGGTAACGCGGTTGCCTTTGCGCTATACTATTTAGGATTTGATTACCGGCTGGACCTTGTTTTTTCAGTATGTATAAATTTGAACGTTTTTTTTTGGGAAAAATTGAATGTCCGATTTTGTGTCTGCTAATTTTTTGTCGGTTTAGTTGCCACATCACGGATTTTGATTCTTCCTGTGCTCTCGCAATATTTGTTTGTAATTCTAAGTTTTGTGGACTTAACCCTGTAATTTTATGACTTTGCTAGCCCTGACTAGTACATTTTCCTTTCTTTGTTTTTTTTTCGCTTAAAAGTTTCATTTGGCCTAAATGGTTGTGGCCATAATTTTTTTTTGTATTCGTTGTCCTTTTTTTGTCGTTTGAAAGACATAGATTGATTTTACAACTTAATTGCTCAAGAAATTTTTATGGCAACAATTTTTAGGGCATTTTTTTGTTTTTGACTTTTGTTTTTGGCTCACTGTTTTTTTTTGCTGTTGGCCTTGTTTATCGACAGATTTTTTAAAATTGAATTTTTCAAATTCTTAACTATTATTTGCCTTAGTTATTTTGGTCCTATTTTTTTCGCTAGCTTGTAATGCTACGCTTGCATTGTATCCCAATTTATTCTAAGCTCCGTTTCGCCTCTGCGTGATGCCTCTGTAAAATGTACAAAATTTTCACGATAATTGAAATTTTTTTAGATGTGTTTCTGTAATGGTGCAGGTAATTGATTTTTAAGAGTTTTGGTGTTCCTATTTTTTGAAAACAATTTTGGGTCGATTGTCAATTTGTCTTTTCAGTCTGGTCTTAGTGAAACGAAAGAAATTAATGGAAGAGTTTAATTTTTTTACGCTTGTTATAATCAAATCACTTGTAATCGGTTTTAAATTGTTTGAAATTGGTTTCTATCTACTTGCAATTTTTTGAAAAAGACATATGATTTTCACAAACCCTACGTGAAGACAGAAAAGGCAGCCAAACATAGAAAATTTGGTCTTGAATTGATTGTTTCTTGCAAAACGGCACAATCTTGTTTTTGTACATCACAAAACGTTTTGTTTCTTACAACTCTGGCGGTGTTCTAAGTTAGTAGTCTGCATTTTAATAGATGTTAAAACATCAGTTGGCGGTTCATTATTTGATCATTTCTGTTGTGCTAAAATTGCTTTGAGCTATTTTTGATAAAATTCAAAACTCAACAATTTGAACTCTTGATTGAAGAGTCTTTCTGATTTTCATAAATATTTTTTGTTATTAATTCTGTGTACCTGAACCGAATCATCCTTCATTATTTGGTAAAGATTTTAAAAATTTGTTTCCAATCAAATTCAATCATTTTCGCGGTTTCTGTAACCTCAACGTCATTTCCTTGTCTAGTATTTTTGTCCAACAAGAGTTCTTAAGTGCATCAAACTAGATAGTAAATATGATGATTGGCTATTCGCTGGCGGATGATACGATAGTAAGCGGCTCATGATAAATAAAGGCCTTCTCTGTGTTTCTCTTTGACCTGTTCCGGAATAGACTTATTGCCTGGAATTACCAAGACTGAATTCGATCGCAGTTTATACCAATTGGTGCTTAATTTTATAAATGTGTCCTGTTCCATTAGCTGAACCAGTGCATTCACTTTTGCCTCCAAATCCGATATGCAATATCGATAAGCATCCGTTTATAAGTAAAATTGTCTCCACTTTTTGAAAACTATTATTTCTTGTTTCTATGGCTCACGTTAAGTTGTCTTCTCTTCTTTTACCAATCTAAAAGAGAAGTTTTCCTCGTCTTAAATTATGCCTTTATGTTTCTGTCTCTGTTCCCTTTTTGAGTGTTGTTTATTTTTCCCGTCTTTCTTTGTTTACTTCGCCACCTGATCCAAGTATCTTCCCACACGCTAAAGTAATCCGCCTTTGTAATTTCAATCAAGCCAAATTTTTTTTTTAAATTAAACAAAACTGCTTGGCGCTACTTTTTTTATACGTCGGTAAGCGAAAACACAGTTTTTTGTTGTTTCTTTTTTTTTTCGCTTGTGCCTTTATCTTAAAATCATTTCCTGTGCGATGTATTTATTAATTTTTCCCTTAGTTTTATCCGCTGCCTTCTTAATATGCGTACTGTTCTCTTTTTCTACATTTCAGTTTCAAAGAGGAACGAATGTTTGGTATACCAACTAGCACACTTTAATTGTCAACTCGACTGTATAATTGCAAAATCGGTACCTGAATGAATAAAATAACCAAATTTTTCCATTCAGTCGGCGCAGATAGATTTTAAAAATAAATTGGTGTCTATTCTCTCCGAGGCAATTTACAGCTCAAGAGTCAACACACTTTACTGCTGATGTTTAAACCAAATCATAATATTACTGCGAAAAAACGTAAAAATTTCTGCGCTTTTAGGCTTCGAAGAGTATAAAATGTGACCCGAGAAGAAGCTAATTTGAATTTGAAGTATGTCACAATTTCTAGTTGCACCATATTCAAATTGATCAAGAAGAACGGACGTGCAATTTGCATAATCCCCGTATGAGCAAATTACGAAAACAACAGTGGAAATCAGATCACCAACAACTGAATAGATATTATAACTGGATTATAACCCACTGAACAATAACAACAATGGACGCGTTTTGGCGGGGAGGGGGCAGGCCTCTTATTAAGCGACAAACAAGTGTAGTCGACACCGAAAATGAATCTCATGGAAACAATAACAACAACAATCGAAGCAGTTCGGCTTCTCGGGTTTCGAGTCGTAACATCAACGATTCGATGTCGGCGAGTGACACTCCGAGATCGCCAGATATTGTAAATTTGGGCTCGGAACATTCGGACGAGTCGTGTAATGGAGACGTTTTGTCTGCTAAAATGGGGGAAAGTGTGGATAATTTGTCGATTGGGGGAGTGGGGTCTTCGAATCGTCTAGGCATCGACAGTGTGAGAGAGCCCAATAGTTCAGCTAGGTCAGTTTTAATTATTTATTCAGTTCTATTCTTTTGATTCGCCATGGAAAAATCAATTGCATATATTATTTCAGAGAAAAAAAACATGCACTCTCATTTTGTATAAATCAGTTTCATGTGGACAGGGGCGGATCTAGGATTTTCTCGAGGGGGGGGGGCGGATTTTCAAAAAATTTTCCAAAATTTTGACGACCTTTTTTTTTTTTTTTAGGTCGACCAAATTGATTTTGATTTTTCGCGCTCTCCCAAAGCACTATTTTGCCCCTATTTTTGGCGAAATTTTCTGCGCCGCATGCAAATTTTTGAAAGAACAGTCAAAAAAAGCCGTTTTTGGGCACTTTTTGAAAAATTTTGACAAAAAAATGCGTTTTTTTGGCGCGCGCTCCCCCTCAAAAATAGCATATATTGGCGCCGAAGGCGCCTTTAGAAAAATTTTAGGGTCGGTCGGCCAAAAATGGATTTCTGAAAAAGTATCAAAGGGGGGACCCTTTGGGTCGGCAGGGGGTCAAATCCCTGAGGGGGGGGGGGCGTCCGCCCCCCCCCCCTAAATCCGCCCCTGCATGTGGAGAAATTTTTTGTGGAGAATTTACACTAAACTCAATTTTGCAAAATCGATATTTTGACGATGCGCATGATGAAATTTTCGCGGAGAGCCAAGAGTTTGGGTTGCAGATTCAAATTAAATAGCAAAATTCAGCAATAATTTCAGCTCCGTGTCTGATGACGCTGGAGGCGCCACCACGCCATCTCATCACCTTCCTCGGATCAGACCCGAGGAGGCCGAGAAACACTTTGAGGCACTAGACACGATTCTATGTCCCCTCCTATCCTCATACAGTGCAAACGACTCACAAATGTCCAAATGCTCAATTAGACGAAAGTTCTATACACAGACCTACATGCATTACCCACATAGTATATCTCTAGGAAAGAGTTACGGTGATTTAGCCCGGGCTCTGAGGACCCGCGAGGTGATCCAGTTGACCCGTGATTACGTTATGAGGATAGGCCAAGTGCAGTCGTTTATCTACACATTGCAGAGATTGGCAATTGAAGAGCACTGTCTGTTGTTGCAGAAACGAAAAACCGGTCAGCGAGTTTCCGGTAAGTGCTGGTTGTTCCGTTTTTTAAAGATTCTGATTTTTTCTTGATCAATAGTTTTTCGTAAAAAGATGTTAATATCGTTTTTCTTCAGGGGTGTTGGTTCAGTTCTTGACTACTACGACATAATGTTTACTACATAAATGTACGAGAACCAATTCTATATTGAACCAATTCCATAATTAACTGCCTTCGGCGCAGAGCCATTGGTTTTTCGACATAAAATAAAAATAACATTGTTGAAACATGACCACAGCATTCCCCTTCTTTTTCAAGCGGACGACAGTCGTGTGGACTGTGTGGTGGCCATCTGTGACGACATGAGGGGTCACGTGGCCCACTGGACCAGTCTCACCAACAAACTACTCCTCTCACACTCCATCAAGTGTTACAGGTAACCACCCCCGATTTCTATTCAGCAAACGACTCTTTTCTTTACCGTCCACAATCCCGTGATGGTATTAGGTTGTTTTTGGCCTATTGAAATTACGTTATATGTAAAGGTGCCCAAAGTCCCATGGCTCTTTTGTATACCTAGGCAATTTTTGATGGTGCGTAGGAGAAAGCGAGCGTACTCACCATGAACAGCATTTATCTGCGCTAAATAAAATTCAAGCATAAAAGCTAGACAGTTACATTAACCTATTTACTTATGAAATTTAAGTGTTCAGCTTAAATTTTATAAGTAATAATAATGATATAATAAATAATATGTAAAATGACAAGTTCATCAGTTGGAAAACTAAATGTGGGTTTTCTTGATTTTTTTTTGGTTTCTTCAATCTCAAATGATATCAGAAACTTATTAATAATAAATTTTCGAAGTCGTAATTTGTGTGTTTAGATGGCGTATCCTACAGAAGCTACAGGGTGTACGGAAACAGTTGCACTACCACATGCAAGTTGCTCTGTGGTGGTTGGCTCATCTCATCAACAGCTGCATACACGTATTTGCCATCACTCCTTTCCATCAGATTCCAGACGCAATTCTCTGGAACATCACGAGAGGAGTGGAAGAGTTCGGAATCATTCTGGATCTGGCCAAGTCCAGAGGCCTGTTGAAACAACTCCACGCTATGGGCTGGTGCAATCTGCCTATATTCAACCCTCAAACTAGCGATTGTAGTTTGCCAATTCTTTCTATCACTAACAGACCGAGTCTTGCCAAGTTGCTGAACGAGATATCAAAGTCAAGGTCAACCCTGGTAGCTGAACTAGTTTATGAAATTTTCTCATCTAACGACACTATTGTCGAGCTAATTAACTTGGATAAACAGTCCGATTACAAATGGTCATTGCTACAAGGAAAAACGGAAGGTGATAATAATGAGGATCTGAAAGATGGTATCACGATTCATTTAATTCAGAAACACGTTTCTTCTTTGCTGCAATATGTTAACTTGGAGGAAAGTTTTGCTACACAAATCCTAACTTCCCTGTCTACGAATACAAACATGTTGCGTAAAACTAATTTGAGAGCGGGCGGCGCAGCAACAGGTGCGGGAGGCTACGTCTCACCTCGGAACTCTTCGGCCCAGGACGTCGTGGCGCAGTTGTCACGGCTCAAGAACCGTCGAAGTAGTGAAGCGTCGCATTACTTTCAAGAATCCTCGTTTTCAATTGATATCTACAAGCCAAAACTGAAAAACGTCTCTAATAATCAATCGTCAGATATCCCACATACGTCATCAGAACCAAATGCCACTAAGCAACATACACCTTTGAAGTCCTCGACTTCGGAAGTCCATCATAATTCTTCTCAAAACGAGGGAACTTCGCCCGGAGGATCGGCTCAAGTGTCGGCCCGAAAACCGAGAAAGAGTGTCAAATGGAACGACTCGGCTACATCGAGTACCGTGAACCACTTCAAGACTCGGTATTTGAATTTACTTTGGATGCATCTAAAGGAGACTTTGAGTCGTAAGTTCCGAGAGCCTAATTGGACTACTGTAGAGTCGTCTCGTTTCTGCCTCGGTGATGTCAGACTTCTCTCGACTACTGCAATCATGTTCGTGAGCAAGTCGCTGCACCATCTATCCAACGACGGTTTGTGGTATTCATCTTTTGGAACATAGTAAACTTTTATAGTACTTTTATTGAATTGTAGTGGTCCTTGCAGAAGAAATTGAGACTTATCTTATCATTGTTTGATTTCTTACCTAATGAAATTTTTTGCTTTTTTAAACTGCCTATGACTTAGTACAAAAGCTTAAATTAAGTCAATAAATGTCCACATTTTGAAGGATGAAGCTAGAAGTAAACTCTAAATGTTTCGCTAAGGTAAATGCTAAGTGTTTCTGCTTAGATGGTTTCGGAGACCCCTTGCGGAATGTTATTCAACACATATCCAAGAGTATTCACTGCATCGCTGTCAATATCTTCACAGAGCAAGGTAAATCAGTTGGTACTTGGTAAGTAAGACGGATTGACATCATGAAATTGAGACGACAAATGAGCTTTAAACCTTATAAAATGTTCGAATTTAAGCAGTTTAAATTTTTCAGAAATACAATTAAAGAATTGTGTCGCGCCGTTTAAAAGTCCCATCAAAAACCGTTGTCGTCTTAACAGATGTCGTCTCATTTGTCGGACACTAAATTAGTTGTGTGATCTGTAGTTTGTTTGAAGATCTCGGAAGTTTGCAGTGTAAAAAATTTCGCTGATAAGATGATGTTTATGATGATAAAATGAAACATTTGGGATTTGAGCTCTTCTTTTTTTTTATATAAAACTTTCAAAGTAGCTTGACCCCTTTTGGTTAAATTCATCTCCCTCCTTGTACATAGTTTAGTTTTGTGCTGTAGAAAAGGGTTTCACAAAGGATATGAATATGAACTAAATGTTTTCACTTCAGTTAATTGTTCTTTCTAGTAAGTCTTGGTATATTTTAGGACAAAAAACTTTCATAAGCTGAATCGTTAAAATGGACAAATTGGAAAGTTAGAAAGAACCGCACCTTTTTTTAACGAAGTTGTGGATGACCTTTTTAATTCAGAATTCAGAAGAATGTTGGTATCCACCCTGAGTGATCGGTCTATCTTGACGGGGCTGGGGACAGGAGACTCAGTGGCTCAGCTGGAAGAGGTCAGTTCCCCCACCAAACTGGTCATCGGTGCCCTCAGATCCAGTATATCTCTAGCTGAGTGCACGACGAGGGAGCAGAGTGCAGACACCGCTGACCTCACAGGTGACGCCTTTTTTCAAATAAATGAAAAATCAGACTTTTTTCTCCACACGACCCTGTATGTAATATTCCAGGGGGAGTAAGCGCCGAAACATTTTCGACAATTTTTTTGAAACTCCGCCCTCCTCCTCCCCCCCCGAGAAAATCCTAGACCAGCGCCTGAATTAGACCTAACAATTAGCTTGGCTCAATTCAATTTGGATTATTTTTTGAGCCGGATTTTTTGGTAACTTGCGCGTTATTTACGTGGCAATTTTGAAACCCATATTTTAAATTTTAGCACAGTATCGATGTATTTTGTATGCTTATAAAAATTCCGTCAGAAATTGCTAGTTAAAAGGTCTAAATTTCTCAATTTCGCTGAACAAAAGAACCCAGGCAGAAGAATCAGTCACTTTTCCGATAGTCGGAACAAAAAACTAAATATCACCTTTTGTACAAAAATAGCGTTTATCAAATTCCGAATTGGCTTTTGTTTGGTAAAATAATAGAATCTTTATTAAGAGTCGATGAACGTAGCTCTGACTCTTATATAGGTCGCGATATTTTTTTTCTAAACAATTGTTCAGGCTCAAATTTTTTTTTCGCAGTTTTACTTTTGATTTCTTTTAAGTTCAGTTCATTTCTTTTGTTGAAAGGACGGCAAACTCCACCATCGAACAGCAAAACTGTAAAGGTCACAAAAAACGTGATCGGCTTCTAACTTCGAAAATGGACTTAAATTGTCAGATTTGCCAGCGAAACAAAAGTCTTACTTATTGTTCCAGTTTTCTCAAATTGGGCCAATTTTATCAAAAAAAATGTCAATCTAATTTTTTTTTAGAATTTCCAATAGCTTTAAGGCATCATATTTTTCTTGTAACTTCGAAAGCTGAGATTTTTTTCAAAAAAAAACAAGTCTATATTTTTTTCTGTTTATTTCATTGGCTCTTTTAGAACTGTCTGTTTTCTATGTTTTATTTTTGTGTTAAACTATTTTATGAAATTATATGCTTTTATTTCTGTCTAATGTCTAATTCTGCAGTTATTTTCTGGAAGTTTTTCTCATGTTTTCAGGCGTGAACGACAGTGGTAGAATTGGGATGTCTTTGTGGAACTGTCAGCTATGTGTGAACTGCAGCAGCGTGTTGCCTGGTAACCTGGTCCAGTGCTGCACGCTCATTGGCTCATACTCTGCCTGGTTCTCCTCCCAAATCAGCCAATCAACCCTCAACTGGAACGTGCAATCATACATCAATCTTGCCCACATTGACCTTATTGTGAGTTAATCAAGTTTGTTGTTTTTAACCGGAATTTGTGTTTGGGTTAATTCAACTGGTTATCCAGTGTTAAATGAATTTCAAACCAAGAGCAAGTTTTTTTCACTTTGACTTGCATTCAAAGATTGTTATGAAAATTTTTCATAATACTATGGAGTTCTTGCGCGCAATCCTTCTTTCAACTACAGCCCAAACTGCGCCCGTGTTTAAGAATCGATAAGCGCCGTGAAGACTCTTATATAGGCGCTGATGAGTTTTTTTTAGGAAAGTCTGTAATTTAAAAAAAAGTTGTTCAGGCTCAAATTTGATTTTTCTCAGTTTGATTTTTGATGTCTTTCTAAGTTCAGTTGATTTCCTTTATTAAAAGGAAAGTAAACTCCACTATCAAACTGCAAAAGTGTATAGGTCACGAAAAATGTAAACTCTGGAATCATTGAAAGATTCAGTTTTTTTTGTTTGGTTGCGTTCATTGACTCTCATCCGACTCTGTTATATTCAAATTGCGCGTACAGCGGTTTACGTTTAGCTCAAATATTACGGGAGCATTTTTTGGTGCTAAGAACCGAGCGAAACTCCCATGCCCGGTTCCGAATGGCAGTTTTTGATCAGTACAAGGAACCGAGAAAATATCTTAAGGTGAGGTTGTGTATTTACGTTCTGGGACTTGGAGGCAAGTTTTTCCTTCAGGGGAAGAGAAAAAATCCTCCTGTCTAGATGTTAAATTCCATAAATTTCTTCAAGTATCTTGTTATTGCCATTAATTTGAAGTCTTTCCCTTGCAGATTTCTTTCAAACGAATGAATGAAAAATGCTTGAATCTTAATTGCGCATTGCGAGTTTTGCTCAATTGGCTTTATCAGCGATTGAACGGAAAAGAAAGATGCCCAAAAATCACAAAAACTGAAAAGTTTATTTGTTGATCAGACAAACCCTGATTTTTTGCCATTGGTTGTCGAAATCATGCAAGCTGCAGATGAATCCGAACTGCATTTCGTTTTGTTTAGATGGTGAAAGAGTTAGTGGCCCGGCACCTAATCGCAATCGAGACTCTGATGAGCAGCCAGGGTTCGAATATTCCTCTCTCTTCTCCTATCGGTAGCAACCCCAACAACCCCCGGCAGCACCACGCGTCCCCATCCCTCCCCAACTCGCTCTCGCTCATCCCCCTCCACATCACGGCCACGCAGCTGAAACAGATCCAACAAGGGTTGCATTTGCTGACAGCGGAGTCTGAGAAGTTGTGGCTTGAACAGTGTGAAGTAGTTTGCAAAGCACACTGGCAGAAGAGTTTCCCATTGCACAAAGTGTGGAAGACCAGAGGATCAGGTAAGACTGAGGTTTTTCCTAGGTTGATTGAGTGTAATCAGACTCCGCCGTCAGCATGGAAAGGGTTTTTTCTTCCGCTGATAATCTCAATATTACAAGTTAATTAAATCTTGGCGTGCATATGTTTTAGCTATTTATAACTATCTATTTCGTATATGAAAGTTATCAGCAAATATTACTTTGCAACTAAGTAAAAATTAAGTCGTTGAAGAAAATTGCGAAAAGTAAGTAAATTGATAGCTCAAGGTTGGTGCTAAGTTTTCAACCGATTTTTCTTATGCTTATGTATGGTTTTAGGTGCAATTGGGAGTACTAAACCTCAAGAGTATGCCCAGAGGGCCATAGTGAGTATAGTGGAGCCAGTGGCCAGGGCAGCTGCCCCTCTGAGAGTGAACTCACAGGTGAGGATTGTGGGGTCTGTGCTCAGGACTCTCTTCCACACCTGGATGGACTACATTCTACAGAATAGAGTCCGATTTACGTGAGTCAATGCAAAGATTAAGATGAGTCGCTGAGATTTAACTTACAAAGGCCTCACTAGACTCATACTTGATTAAGCCTCCCCTGCATGGTCCCACAATGCCAGTAACACCTGAATAATCCACCTGCAGCTTACACAAAGTTACGCTCTCTGTGTTATTGCTGGTTAAACCCTCAGTGAAGTTGACACTAAATGTCAAAAACCACCACACTCTTAACTTCTCAATTTTCCATCTCTCCGCCTTCCGTTGCCATCATACTAACCCCTTCCCCCTCGCCAAGTACGTGCTTCTATTTTTAACCGCTTCAAAGAAGAAACCACAGAAAGGTTATCTTACTACTCGTTCAACGATAGATTTTAACAAACTGCTCGTATCAGGGCAAAGCCCTGAATGTTCCGACTGCCTTTTGAAGTTTATGGAGCAGTAGTAACATCAAAAAAATTAAATGTAATAAAATAAAAATAAAAAAAAATCTAAAATTTGAATTTTTTTTATGAAATCATCCCCCCACACGCCATATAAAGTACAAAAGAATAGATTTCGCTCATTTTAACAAATCAATTATGGCAAATAGGCTTCCTTCAACCAATTTAGAACGATTTCTAAGACGGATTAAATCTACGCTTACGCGTTAATAGCGCGAATTATATCGCGCGTTAATTGTCCCAAATTGGCCAAAATGGCAACCTTTAAACCCCCATAACTTTACGAAAAATGATCACAGGTGAAATATCTTTTCAAATTTAAGCTCACGACAACAATACCTTTCGAATGATATAAAAAAAATTCCGTCAAAAATGGCTAGTTAAAAAGTCGAAATTTGTCTGAAGAAAAAAAACCCACCCCGAGCACAAATATTCCGTTACTTTCGTATCGAAAGTCGGAACAATATATGACACGAAGTCTCCTGCTTTGTTTTTGAAAATTTTAAAAACTGTTTACACTTGCGAAGCGAGTGAATAGTACGAACCTTCCTTTTTTTCCAACCTAAGTCACAAATATTGGTACCACTTTTAGGGCACCCTTTACAGCTTTTTTCATAGTATGTGCTTTGCCATTCAAATAGTAGTAATTGACACAGTTGGTGCATTTTTAATTCATCAAATGAACCGAAACAAGTAATTTGTTTCAAACAACATAACAATCATGAAAACTCGATTTCAGAAATTTTCTAACTCAATCTATCTCGCAATTTTTTGAAATGCATAATTTACACATAATGTAGTTTTATGTTTTGCGATTTGTTACATGCAAAGTTAGTGTCGATGTCTTCAGTTTGTTATATTCCAAAATATTACTCGCAAAATTGAATATCTATGGTGCCACATTTGATGAATAGCATTGGCATATGTAGCTGTTTATTACGGATTAGTGTTTTTCGGTTGTTAAGCTTGCGTGGCTGGGTGGACAGTGCGTGAGACTCAAAATCTTAATTGCAATAGGTCGCAGATTCGAATCCTACACGTAGCCGAGTTTTTGCTAATTCGAGGCTCATTTCGACTTTTTCTTATTTCACTTGATAGAGCTGCTTTTTGGTCGTCCTCTCGCAAGTGTTTTCTCGCAAACACTTACCTTTTTCGGGTCGACAGCTCCTTTTAACCTCTATGGCCAACATGCTGTCTTTGCCACCTTTGTGAATTTCTCCAAAACCCTTCCCTACATAACCCTGCAGACTTCTGTGACTTTTGCCGGTGAATGCCCCGAAGTTTTTAGACCTATAGACGGACGAGCCCAACCCAACCCTGGGCTAACAACAAGAAGACAAAAGTTCCTCCGCATTTTCAATAGTCGGAATAATAATATCCAGTTGGTCATTTTGCGATTTACAACAAACTTTTGGAATTAAGTTATTGCTTCTCAAATACAAATCAACGTATAATATATATAAATAAAATAGTAGTTAAGCATAATAATTAGTGATTCTGAATCCAGTGTAAAAATATGAAATCTTCAATGTATCTGTGGAAGTTGCAACTAACATAGGTCTGCCAACGAGGAATCCAGCGCATTGAAATTGTAATTGCCGTTCGATGAATTCCGAATTTAGATGCCACAACTAACTATTTGGAGCTGCAATCTGTTTGCGTGTGGATCAGTGGCTAAAAACACGTCAATATGGCGTGCCTTTTTGTGCAGCCCACGAAATTGCTTTTTATGGATTGCGCTTCTAGGGGTTTTACGAACTTTCCGCACGGCAGCATCTTGGCCCGGTAATATTCTACCCATAGAAACTTTTAACGAATTGTCGCTTTGCGTATTATTATTATGGCTGAAGTAGACAAACAATTTGCAAACTTATCATAATAAGCCTAAAAGCACTGCGCAGGCGAAAATTCTAATATCTCCGCTATCGAAACGAGAGGTTGGGTTTTGGGCCTTCGAAAAATATATGGTCCGCGCTCATTGCTCGATTGTGGGCCAGCTTGTTCAAATCCCAGGAAATTCAATAAACATTAAGTAGTTTCCAATACAAGATGCCTCTGAGCTACGCCCTATTAGGGCGAGTAGTATTTTTCTTTCTATCTTGTCTTATGTGGATATTTGATTCAAAAAAAGTTTTTTCAACTAAAAAAAAACATGAATCTACAGTCCTGATTGTGGTTTTGACAACTTCACGCATAAACTGAAAAATACTCCTGAAAAATTACTCCTTCATAAGCTGAAAATTTTACAATCATCAAATATATGTTTCTATTGAATACAGCTAAACTATGACTATCGTTTTCTTTCGAGAATACAGCTAAATTTTTACTTTAATTTTCTTTTTCCTACCCAACTCATTTAGACAGTCTCATTGCTTCTACAATATTTCAATGTATCAAAATTTTGGAACGCTCTGTCTTTTTTTTCAACTTCAATCTGAAGAATATGGGCTCACATAGTTATCTGAACGCGAAATTTCTCTTTATCTGAATTGAATAATGCTGCAGGCTTCAATCCATTTAGAAAAAAGTCTAGTATGTTAACTCTGGATTTTTTTCAGAGTTGTTGGCGCGTACCAGTTAAGTGTAGACTTCGATTGTATCCAAAAATGGATCAGCTGCAACTTCTGCCAATTGGACCCAGAGACAGTTGCCCAGTTGGGCCTGCTGCACATATTCCGCGAGGCGTCAGCTGTGATTGCCATCCTGCAGGACGAGCAGCCGACATCATCATCTAGCATACCGCCGTCTTCTCCACAACGACATTCCCAGATTACAGGTAGCTTGGAAGCTGAATTGAAATAAGTCTCATTCAAGGTATAGGTTGGGATTTTGAGACATAATTTGAACAGCGGTAATTTTGATTTCAATCATGGATCAGAAAGCTTGCCGTATGGGGTTGAATAGCTTATTATTTGGTTGCTTTGGTTATAGATAAATTTTTTTTAAGTTTACCATCTTCATTGAACCCTCACCGGACTATCATTATCATTAGATAAGGCTAACCCTAACCATCTTCGATCATGTACTATTTGCAGAAAATTAGTTATTATGATTAACTTCATCATTGGGAATTGTTGCTTTAAAACGTTTGAAGCAAAACCGGAATGTTGAAAAAGGCCGATCATTTTAAGCTATTAAGCTTCCAACTACTTCAAGGGAAAGTTTCTATAGAAATAAAATTGGTTCAAACTTTTCAGACGTGAAAACAAAAAGCGCCAACTCGCTTCTTGACGTGATAGATCCGTCTCGAGATCAGGTAGTTTCGGATAAAGAAGGGCGAAACAGCAGTGGAACAGCCTCGGCGCCCATTTTACGAGAGTGGGATACGAACCGCATTCCTTCACTCGACAAACGACGGAAACTTTTGTCGGGTTCCGAGTACTCAGAAGTGTCAGCCAATCAGAAACCAGCAGTACCATTCGGCAATTTCTTCGCGACAAATAGCGACGCTGAGAGCAGTTCGAATTCAGTTTGCGGCGCTCGCAAAAATTCGAGCTCACATCAAAGTGATATTTCGTGCAGTTCGACGTCAGCCTTTCGGATACCCGGCGACTCGGGTCGTTCGGGTTTTGTTCACGTGAACCGAGCCGACGAATGGGAGTCATTGAGAGCAGGGAGTTCGCTGTGTCCTATGTCATTTGGAATAGTTCCTTTTCTATGTACCGACACTGAAAATTAGACGATGAATTATTGTGAATACCTTAATTTGTTTTGATTTGAGTTTGTAAAAATAATATAGTTGCATATTTAAATTCATTAAATATTTAATTAAAAAACTGTTTTCTTTCTGATTTTTTTGTTTTAAAGAATCAAGCATGGCATGCTTTCTACTAAGTTGAAGGTTTTAGTTTTTGCAACAAATCGTGAAATTTAATTTTGCTCGCCATTTTAGTAAGCGCAAAAAAACATGAGTGATTGTATCAGGGCAACAATATTTTATCTACCCGCTTGAGTTTTAATCCAATGGTTTCTTTCCAATTTTCAGTTATGTTTTTGAAATTTTACCTCATATACTGTCTTTGAAAATCTGAGAATCACAAGTTGCTCTGAGTCTTAGTTAGTGTGGTGTGCTTGTGGGTAAAAAGAAGTTAGAAAGCCCTGCATGCTTAGACTTGACTGCCTTTAAGTGGTCTCCAATATTTTTCTTAAAATTTTGATTACACGAAAATTTTGATTACACATTACTACAAAGCAACTTTTTTTCCAACATAAGTCGCCCTTGAAAGTATCATTTTATGGCACTTCTGGTATATTTTGAACCATAGGCATATTAATAATCTGTTGCTACTCTATTAGTGGCAAGAGTTAGTTTACTTCGAATAGACCATGTTGCAGTTATGAGGACGTGAAATTTTTTTTATCTACAGGCCTAAGACTCAAATCCGATTGAGTGAAATGGTTTTTTTATTTGGGGGCTATTTTGCTGCATAGCATTGGCGATTTAATAGCAACCTTAGCTGCTTAAGGGTTTGTAAGTTCTTATGCGAGCGTTATGCAGATGCGAAGACGTGAGGCTCGCGATCTCAAGGTCGGAGGTTCGATTCCGGCTTATTTTTAGCTTTTCCTTTTTCTTTACTACACTTGCGAGAGCAAGTGTCTTATAATCAGGAACTAGACTTTTTCCGTAACCTTTTTTCCTACACATCTATTTATTATTCTTCTCTTATTCGCTTCTCATTACAAATCTTTTCTTTATCATCGAGCCGTAACGACTTTCAGGTTCCTTCCTACTTGGTCAAGAGGTAACGCACAAAAATTATGGTGAATTAGTTGACACCTCACAGACTTTTTTCAGCTCTAAGCAAATTTCACTGTAGTTGCAAGTATAAGTTATGTTTATTGTAGTTTCAGGTGGAAAGTGAAACTTTGACGATTTTTTTTTATAAAACTTTTTTTTTCGGCTCAACTTGAATTTTTGTTCTGCTGCTGAGTAATTTGGTTGAAATGTCATGCATCATTTTTTTGGCGTCTTAAATTTTTTTATGTTTCCTTTGTATCGCAAGTGACGCGAAACTCCGCTTCGCTTCTTTGTTTTACTTTGTTTTTGTCTTTTAGGAGCTTATTTTTTTGCTGTGTTCGTGCCTGTGTTTTCAAATACAAACTAGTAAGCCTTAAAGGTTCAGTCGTATAGCCAAAAAGTAATAGAACTCCCCCACGATAGAAGGGCCGAAAAATTGAAAAAGAATACCCAGCAATCAGAAATTAATTTTCAAAAATTAATTACTCGTGCGATAAGCAAGGGTGTAACAAACGGCTTCTAGATGTTTTCCCATAAAAAACTTTGTGAACACGATGACTCAAATTAGGGATTATTTCCAAACCTGCATTTTTGTCAAGTGACAGAAAAATATGCACTTTGTGAATTCTAACTTTATGGTATATATGGAGTTATCACTTGTCTGATTGTTCAGCTCCTCTGTTAAGCTCCTCTGTGGTAAACTCATCCGCGTAAGCGGCTACGCCAAACCTTTGTAAAGAAAAAGCGATGGCCGTTTTTTGAATCTTCGGCTTTTGTGTCAAAATCTACCCTCCCAAGTCTGAGATTTGAGTTGGTCAAAAGGAGAAAACAGGCTGTGAAAATGTCTCATGCTCTAGCGGTCACTCCCAAAGAATTTCACCGAAAAATTTATAGCCCTCGGACTGTTTTTGAAATTTTTGACATTTCTTGAAAACAACCTTCAAAAGTCTCAAATTTTGGATTCAATTCAAAGAATGGGCTGTGAAAAAGTCCTCTGCATAGGCGACTGCGTTCAGTTTTTCTACACAACAAGTTATGATCCCCGTAAATCAGATTTTTGACTGTTATTTGAGTTTATGACATTCCTCGAAAATTACTTTCTCAAATGAGAGTTTGCGTTCAGCTTAAATAATGGGTTCTGCCAAGCTCTGCATAATCGACTACGCCCATTTTTTTACGCAAAAATTTATGGCCCCAAGAAAAGACTTGTCTTTTATAAGTATATGACTTTTCTCGTACATTACCTTCCGAAATCTGAGTTTTTTGATTTAACCAAAATAACAGATTGTGTGAGTCTTTTCTGCATAGGCGGCTATGGTCAAATTTTTTCTTACAAAAAGCTATAATTCTTGGAAAAGTCCGCTTAGTAGGCTGGGTGCCTGCATAATTCTCTAGTCTTTTTTAAAATCTCGCCCTACTTTCTACAGCCTTCGAAAAAATGGGGGTATTAAATTGTTGTCTTAAATTGTTTCAAAAACTACCCTCCCAAATCTGAGGTTTTGAAATCATGGGTAGAACAGGTTGTGGGAAGCTCCCCTGAATAATCTGCTACGCCCGAGTTTTTTCACACACAAAAAAGCAATGGTCTTCAGAGAATTCAATTTTTCAATTTTTGAAATTTTTTTGAAACTTGACTTTTCTCGAAAACTACCCTCCTGAATCTGAGAATTCGGTTTCAATGGGTGGAAGGAATTATTTTGAAAGCCACTCGGTATAATTTTTTACGCCCAAATTTTTTACACTGTCAATTTTTTGACCGTTTTTTCTGCAAAAGCGGCGAATCCTGATTTTTGATAGGATTGCCGTTTACTTGAGAAAATTCGGTTTCAAAAGTTTTCTCTCTTCTTTTTTATTTTAGTAGATAAACAATTAGGGTTTGAAATTTTGAAACGTCCAGTTTTGAAATTTTGAAATTGCTCATTGCTTCCCGCGTCAGTGTAACATTTTGAATAATTATTAAAAAGGGTATTCCAGCACTAGCTGCACTCCTAGTTTTTTTTGATTCTGTTGTATTGCAATTTCTGCCCCACTTCGCCTCTGTCTAGATTTATATACAAAAACTAAAGTCCGGCCATCGCCGCAAAGCAGCAACACTTGCTAATTGCGGTCATCAGCTACTTCAAACTGAGAGTTGTTAAAAACGTTGTAGTTTTGATATCTACAAAACTACTCACGAAGTTTCACAATATATCTGTGTGAAATTTTATTTTTCATGTTTCGATACTCTCTGGATTCGTTCTGAAACTCAATATGGCAAAAATTTGTCAAAATGATTGTTGACGTTCCAAAATAAAACACGACAGCTCGTATCATGTCGAAGCCTTAAATTTTCCGACTGCCTTTAAAACTCGATGGACTGGGGTTTGCTTTTAAAAAAAGATGTTCAAAAAAAATTGAAAATATTAATTTTTTTTTAACTTTCTGAAAAACCATCCCCTCCCTTGCAATGTTAAGTACCAAGTGATACTTTTTGCAGCTGTTTTTCTTTTTCCTTCCACCTACGAATTTATACAAGTAATTTTTTGTTGACATTTTCTGATTGCTACAAAATTTGACACGCGGACTAGTTAGGCCATGACAAACATATGTGGTCCTCATGTTTAGCCTTTTAAAAATTTTTGTTACACCTGAAAGTTGATGCATAAGTGAGATAGGGTGGAAAATGCCCATTTCGCATATAGCAAAGCAAAAAAATAGACCTAATAAGATACCTCATTTCAGTCTGGAACGATCTCTAAAACATTTAATATCTCAGCAAAAACGTTAATAGCACAAAGTATTGCGCGTTACTTGTCCCAAATTGCCAAACTGGCAGTTTTTAAACCACTGTAATTTTTCGAAAAAAAATCACAGAGAAAATATCACTGAAAATGGGAGCTTAAGACAACAACACCTTTGGGCTGCTATGACAAATGCCGTCATAAACTCTTAAAATTTTGAAACTTGTCAGGAGATAAAAAACTACCACGAGCACAAATACTTCGTCATTTTTGTCGAAAGTCGGAACAGTAAAACGTGACAGTATCAACCAAACTCGAAGAAAGTGTGATAGCCCAACCAAAAAGTTGCGTGACAGCGCAAACCAAAAGCGTGACACTATCAACCAAACTCCAAGAAACGTGACAGCCCAAACCAAGAAAACGTGACAGCCCAAGCAATTAATTTTCTTACGTACGAGTTTCTGGTCATTTCCATATTTGACTTTACTCCAGTTTTGACAATCTATTTGTATTGTCGTATGCTATCATTTTTTGCATGCTGAACAAATGAACTAAGAAAAACAAATTTAGTTTCGATATCCTAGGTTGTAAAATCCACTCTTTAAGCACCCGGGTCGAGGTGCTCACTTTACATCTTATGTTTCGACTTTCAGTGCTCGACCGAAAAAGAATAGTCGAGCTCAAATTCGAAACATTCCTCGAGCACAGTCGAAACATCCCTTGAGCAAGGTCGAGCATGTCGAAACATACCTCAAGCGCGGTCCAAACATACCTCGAGCTCGGTCGAGCGCGCTCGAAATCTACCTCGAGCACGATCCAAAAATGTCAATTTTCTTCTGATAACTCGCAGTCAAAACTAAAAATTTCTTCCGAATGTCAACATATTTCTTAACCTTTTTGAGTGAAAACCCAAACCAGTATTCCAAAAAATGAAGAAAAAAAACAGCTTAAAGATAGTTCATCTCTACACTCCATCTAAACTGTAAATAACTGTAATCATTTCATTCTGATAAAAAGGCATCATAAGATGTTACCTAAAAAACTTAAATTATAACGTTTAAACTTAGATAACTCCTGTTGTTTCAACAGATCCAAATTCGGTCGAGCACGGTCAAAACATATCTTGTTTGGATTGATCATGGTCAAGCACATTTGTTTCGGTCGATCACGGTCAAAACATACCGAATTTCGGTCAAGCTCGGTCGAAACATACCGCATTTTAGTCGAGACGATCGAAGCATACCGATTTTTGGTCGAGGCGGTCGAAACATAAAGTGAG